AGAGAAAAGTGATTTGGAGTGGTGAATCACGTTTTACAACCTTCAGAAGTGATGGTCCAAGTCATGTTTGGCGTTCCACTGGTCAACGTTACAATATCGAAAATATTGTCCCTTCTGTTAAACATGATGATATAGGATAATGGTTTGGGATGCTTTTCTGGAAAGGGTTTATGGCCATTAGAAAAGTGGAGGGTAAAATAATCCGTTTAGATTGCGTACAGATTCTAGAAAAAACTTTGTTGTCTTTAATTGGAAGAAAATTTCGTGGTGAAAATTATGCATTTCATAAACTAAATCAAGAAAGGAAAAATACTGATTTACCCTCTCAATCCCCTGTTTTCGATCAAATAGAACATCTGTGGAATGAATCTGAGAGGAGATTAAAAAAATCAGCAAAAACATCCAAAAATGCTTCAGAGTTGGAGTGTGAATTTAAAGAAAAACTAGCGAGCATTCCTTTTGAAAGCACGCCTAGAAGGATCAAGGGATGTATAGAAAAAATGGAAGCCTTACTCGTTATTAATTTTAAATTTTCATTTTAATAATAATAAGTTTTTTAGTCGGGATTCTTTTTTTTTGTGAATATATGAATATGAATATATAAAGCCACAAACTAATGGCGGAAACGATGTTAACAACAGTTATAATAATAAATTAAATTATCTTAGCACAGTAACATCGTTGCAAATAGTGTTATCCTACCAAAATTTATTTATCATTTCCTGCTCGTGTCATTTTTTTTTTTTGTTTTGACATGTAAAAATACTATTTTCTTTTACCAATTAATTTTAGATGAAGAACCCGAGACAAGAAAACGCTGGACGTTCATTATTTTACTACAACTAGAATCATTACTTGTATGGTTCTGAATAAGATAATGTGTGTTATTTAATAATAACCAGAGATGTCATTTATATTTAATGATACCTTATATTGGTAACTCGCTTGTCTGAAGCTTCAACTTTTCCAAAGCTCTTTAACCGTAGAAAAAAATCCTATGGCGTCAAAAAGAGCATTTGCATACTCATAGTAGAAATACAGATTTTTGTATTATTATTCCAACGATGAGATCTTTCGAAGTGAACTTGAAGTAGTTATTGCCCCCCAAAAAAAAAATCCAATTCATCTTGTTGTATTTTTTTCGAGCAAAGAAAGAAAGTGAAAATTTTAAGATTTAATTAACTTTATACTCGGCAATATTTAAAGATAAAACAGATCCAGAGTATCTGTTTATTATAAATAAACCTATACAACAAGATGATAACAGAATAATCTCGAATTCAAAAAATCGAAAGTACAAAGCATAATGATAAAAACATGATAGAAACAAACCATTTCCCAAGAAAAGTAAAAGTTTGGTTGGTAAGTTGTACTAGTCAGAAATGATACAAATATCGAGGAAAAGGAAAATCGGGTTTATAAAGAAATTCGAATTCCAAGTGTTAAAAAGAATATTAACTGTTAAAATAGAACAAGACGGTTCAATCCATTAAAATGTGATTTATATGCATTTGACGTTATTGAAAATATGATCAATGATCTCGTATTGTTCCACAAAGATGAAGTTCTTTCTTCTCCACCTTCTTCTCATCAATCAAAATGACAATAACAAAAGAACCTGAATTTATTGTTGTTGTTACAACGCCAATATAAACACCATCCACATCGACAAGTGCGCATACTCCAATCACGTTTCGAACCATTAAAACATTTTGATAGACAATTGATTGCATTAATTCATGAACTAGAATCCAGAATACACATATCGTTATCTATTCACTGGAGGTCGCTACGCTAGTGTGACTAACAATGAAAGAGCATTTACGGAGACAAAGTCATCTGTTAAAAAAGACGTTAGCCAGCTTAGCTTGTCTATGGAGTATTAATTTGATATATTAGGAGTGATGGTTAAGATTTTAATACTTACAAATAGTTTTAAAAATTAGTCTTTAAAGACAATTGTGATAATAGTCAATGATTAGTTGTTGTGGTTATTAGGGTTAATAATTTTTTATGTTTATATAAAATATTTATGTGTTTTTATTGCAATAATGTTAATGGTTAAATATGTGATGAAATAAGTAAAATACAATATAAGCTCTAAAAGATAATTATATTAAAATATACTGTATCAAATAAAAAAAAGCAGAGTTGAAGTAATATGCATGTGTTGGAAGAAGAAAGAGTAGAAAAACTTGATGATTTATTAAATGAAGAATATCTGTTTCTAGAAAATAATGTGAAAATAAAAAAGAATAGAATAATAAGGATAGAAGGCATCATCATAACATATTGTTGATTTTCAAATTCAATAAAAACTTATTAATTGAAAATTTTTGAAACATAATCATCTACATAGATAGAAAATATGAGAATTAGAAAAAGTGAATAATGAAATAACCAGTCAATGATTTAATAATTTACCGTAGATAGGATGACGAAATTCTTTACAACCCTCAAGTTTTATATTTAATCTTTTGGCGTCAAAGAATATTGGATTATAAAATTTGATTGTACCTTTATAGTATTTTTCTTGAAATCTGATTTCTTTTAAATTTGTGAATATTTCGTTTTTTTTATAATTCAACAACAATTTTAAATTATCTGAATTAATTGAATTTTTGTCATATAAAGAAATAATCTTTAAATCAAGCTTATGACAATTATCAAAGAAACATTTTAATTTATGAACTGACAAGTAAAAATTAATGCCAATTGATACCAATTTGTGATTATAATCATTCAAGCAATTCGACAATGATTTGATAATGTAATCGTCTGGATCATTGTTGTTGATGGTATTATCATGTTGTTTAATTTCTATATTAAAGACCTCCATATGCTTTAATTCCATTAAAACATTTACTAATTTATCAATTTCAGTTAAAGCTATTCTAATTGACAATCTTTTTATGTTTTTACAATAATTCGATATTGTATCAAAAAGTTGGGTTGAATCCCCAGAACCATAAAGTGATCTTGAAAGATGTAAAGATTCTAAATTAAAATTTGCAATTTTTATAATTTGAGGTAAAATGTCTGAAACATGGCTCATGTCATAATAAAGATTTTTTATTTTAGGCAATTCTATTATACTAACGATATTCCCGTTATTAATGTTTAATTTATCAGGTAATGATATAAAATCATCTCTCAATTCAACAGAAGTTAAAAATTCCAAAGTTTGGAGATTTTCAAAATATTTTAAAACTGTAACAAAATCTTGAACCTTTGTAAATTTAGAAATTTTAATATGTTTCAAAGTTTTAGAAATTTTTAGTAAACCTTCATAGAAAAGGACTGTGATAACGTTGGATCTCCAGAACTGATTTGTTGACAAAGTGATCAATTTAGATTGTTGTTTAACTATAAAGTCTATGATGCAACCAGGTAATTCAGGATGTATGGATTGATAATCAATGTCGATATCAATATGTTTTAATTCATTTGAAAATTTGAGTAGATTCAAAAACATATTTTTGATTCCTGCACCTTGATCTTTTTGTTCTATTGAATAGCCATCGTGATATATTTTAAAAATTTCGAGTCTTTCTAAAGCAATCTCAGAGTTTCTAAATTTTGTAACATCTATAAATAGACTACTACTATTTAGATTATCCTCATATATACTTAATTTTTTTATACCTTTGGTTTTTTCAAAAAATAAATTGCCAAGAACACTTGTAAAGAATTCTTTTTTTTCATCTGTATTTAAACAATCTGTATTATAGATAATCGTTTTAAAATTCTTAGTGCTAAAACTTTTCAAATATTCAGGATAACAGAATAATGTTGGTCGTTGTTGTAGTTGTTCTTCTTCTTTGTTTTCTTCGTCTTCATCTTTATTTTTATCACCCATTATCCAAGGATCTTCAATCCCTTGATCAAATAATAATTTTTTATCTTCTTTATCAAGACATTTAATACAAGTTCTAAGAAACAATGATGATTTGTCTGGATATAATAAACTGTCGAATTCGAAATAATCTAAAGGGTTACTCCATAATAAAGGTATAACCAATCTACACCAGGTCCTATTAACTAAGGCACACGAATATAAAGTAGGAATGTCATATTTTAAATAATCAAAAACATCTACAAGACATTCTTTAGTATGAAATAATGAATTGGCCATACTTTTTATTTAAAAACTTATTTTTTAAATTTAAAAGTATAAAAAAAATTTTTTTTTTTATTTTTTATTTTTTTTTGACTCATTATTATATAGATTTTATTTGACAAGTGTTATTTATCATTGAGGTAATGGGAATGGTTTCACGAATTGTTTGTTTAAAACAAAAAGTCTTGTTTCAACAAACCTCGTTTTCTTCAGCGAATTTTCATTTCAATGAAGTCTTGTTTTGATCCTCTTTCTTTATTAATTAAATATTCTTTGCTTCTATAAACTTTATATTTTTTTTTTGTCCAAGCATCTTGTCAAATTTTTATTATACAAACAGGAAATTATCGACAGTTACATTAAAATAAACAAAACTTATTAGACATTACATATGCATTTTATCTAATTCATTTAATACAGATTAAGGTATTCGCCTATGCCAAATGACCTGCCAAGCCTTTTCTGTAGACAAATCTTCTACGTAAACTGAATCTAGAGCATTATTAACTACTAATTATAAACCAGGCCAAGAATTGCTACAATTTATTCAAGTGTGTCTCCCAATATCTTTCAATACAATCATAGAACTTGGGGTTAAAAAAATGTTTTCATGCCCAACTTTTTTCTAAGAGGCTTTTTTTGTTCAACAAAAGCTGGCTGCAAAGAAGTGATTCTTCATGCACAACAATCAATTCTATTATCATCAATTAATTACCTTTTCTTTACAGACTTGTAATTAACCAACAGTTTTTCTTTCCATAATTCATCTTTCAGCAAAGACCGTTTCGTACCTCAAAGCGCTATATTTTCATAATCATCTGGAAATGCCATCAATTGAACAGCATTGTTTGGACCATAAGAGGTATGTTGCATATAATTTTTATTTTTCATTGGCTCTTCCACCACCATCACTTAAGAGCATTCCGCTTGTAACAAGAACATCTTTGGCATAAATACCATGGTTAAAGCTGCTATTAAAAACAAATACTCCAATTAGTGTTGGTCGCCAAAACTAATTTTGACATGTGGCGAAACCTTTTGACTTTCGCACAGTTGCGAAAACTCTATAATTTTGGAAACCAACACCGACTCCAATGCAATTGTGAAAAATTGCATTGAAAATAGGGATAGTCCAATATCCCTAATTATTTTTTCCAAGATGAAACAACGTTCGAACTTCATGTGGGATATTGAACCTTTGTACTTTTCTGCAATATCTTCATCATTAATAATTCGACTGGTCTTCTACATGATGTTGATCCAGTTTGGAACCAAATTTTCTAATATTTCTTTCTGTATATGGTATTGGTCATAAGGCTTCCGGTCGAAACTACCTCTCTTAGTAGCCAAAATTGCCGAAATATTTTGGACAAAATTTATCCAAAATGGGCGAAATTATTTTTACAATTACGGTACTTGGATTGAAATAGATTGATTTATATATAGCATCCTTATAATATCATTCTTTTCGAAAATAGTCTGGACCAGAGACCTTAATTGGTTCATCAAGAAAAGCAATTTTTGCTGCTACTTTATTGATTATATCGGTAACGCTCATCTTTTTTGAATGATTAAGCAATTGCTCACAAAAAGAACATTTAACTTTTGTTCTACAGGAGTTTTCATTTAATACAACATCTTTGACATTCTCGATATCTTCAACATTATCACCATCTTTAATATTCTTTAGATGTTGATAGACCAAACCATTTTTCTGATTTTGAAGTAACAGCTGTAGCTTTGATGAATTATCCATTTGGACGGACATACATATTTATCATACAAAGTTGTACTTTAAATTTCTCCAATAATATATATGGTCCTTGCATTTTCTTTTCAACGCCTGCATTTTTCTTTATTCTTGATTCTAACGGAACATTTATCAGTTTGTTTGTTTTTTCTTGTCCTCTCAAGTGCTCCATATTCTACTTTGAAAGAATAACACGAGTTCTAATTACATCTCTGACATAATCAATTGTGTATTTGCACTTAATGGTATTTGACAACATTCACGCTTTCCTAGTGTATTTTTCGATGCAAACGATCATGATATACTCATGAGATTTATGGAACAAATATTGGCGAAAACGGAAACGTGACCAGGTCAACATTTGTGTCTTGTGTTTTAAGTTCAGGGAGCAAAACTACCTTTTCTCCATTTTATAATCTCTCCATTTTGATTACACCGATTCATGATCACCACTGGGTTGACATCATTCAGCACAAGACATAATTTGGAGAAATTGGTTTGTGTATATATAAAACCCTGTTAGAATAATGTATGGGGGCAGTCACATGTTTTACGATCCATCAAAAAACCTTAAATTAGAATTATTTATATTTATATTATTTATTATTATTATTTTCTGATGTGGTATTTATCCACTTGTGACATTTAAGTATTTTATAACAAAAAAATCATTTATACATATTTATATATATTAAAAAAAAATTTCCATTCACTAAATTTTTCTTCCATAAATCCTATAAGTTTTGGCATATGATTTATGTTTATTGTATTCTAAGGGAGCTATTTCCATAATCTCTTTCAAATCCTTTTCTGTCATACACATAAAATCAAGAATACTTGAAATTCTTGCTGAAAGTAATTCAGTTATATTTTTTAAAAACTATATTTATATAAAAATAAGATATAACATTAAATATTAAATAAAATCTAAAAAAAGATTTTTAAATAAAAACAACTCACAAGTTCCCCTATATAACCACCCCAACTTCCTAGCGGTATACCTTTACTATTTACTCCAATATCGACGATTTTATTTGTCCCTAACAACATACTTTCAAGTTCTTTATTTATTTTGGTATTTATCCCACATACTTTTAAATAAGCCACAACTACAAAATTTAGTGTAATTGTATATTAATAAATGTTACTATAAATATAAATAAACAGAGTGTTTAGTAGATAATATTATACTTACATGACTTGCTTATTTTATCCATAACCGGTCCCAAAGAAGTTGATCTTGGATCCCTTTCCTGATTTTTGATTGAATATCAATAATAATATAATATTAATAATTATATTATTGCATCAAGATAAAATAAGAAAGTTATATTACTAATATAAATACCATAAATTCAATCCATCCATTTGGTTTAGTGACTCTTATAATTTCATCAATAATAAATGGCCATTTATCTTTTCGGATCGAAAGCATCATATTACTTTGATGTACATAATCAAATGTGTTGTCGGGAAATGGTAACCCGTCAAATATATTACTCTTGATAAATGCTAGATTCGGTAAATCTTCTCGTTTGAAATCCATTATGTCAATCCCAATAAATGTTGATTTTGGATACAATTCTGCTACACTTGCTATCCAACTTCCTGACCCGCATCCGATGTCCAATACACACATATTGTTTAATTCGTTTTGGACTGGAGCCGAAAACTTTCCTCCCCATACATGTTCGTATAGTATTTCCAATATTTCCATATTTGAAATTGACTATTTATTTAATTTTAATTTAATTTATCATTCTAAAAACATTTTTAAAAAAATACTTTATATTTACAAAACATTTACCTTTTCGTCAACTGCTACAACTTGACAAGAATTTTCTAAATTAACAAACATTCTACCATTGATAAATTTAAATTCATCGCATATTATATCAAAGTTGATTTCATCGTCTCCATCAGTTGAAATTGAATCTGTAGTGCTTTTATTGTCATTGTCATTATAAAATAATGGTTCAAATGACCGTTGGGAAGTTTTTTGATGAAGTGAATTAATAGGCATTGTGTATGTTTTGTATGTGATTTGTATGTGCTTTGATTATAATTACTAATGTATTATCGATGTTATTATTAGTGTTGTTGTCAAAATGACGAATTTATTGTTTATTTTAGTCTTTGCCTTTTTTTCCGCCATTTTTATAAAAAATAAAGTTACACAATAAAAGTTCTTTTTTCCCCCCTATAAATTCCTTAATAACAAGTTTAATAAATCCTATTACGTTTTTCCTTTAAAACAGATTATGTAATCGGTCTTCTGTTATATAATGGAAAAATTAATTAAAAATCAACAAATAAAATTTTGCTTTTTCCGTAATGCTTTGATAATAATGTTAAAAATTATAATAATCGGGTTGGGTAAAATTTGTTGGTCCATTTTTTTTTGTTGTTGTATTAACACTTATGCACATACCTTCACACATATATTAATTTGTTATTATATAATCCAATTCTTTTTTTCCCAAGAATATAACCGATATTGTATGCATGTACAGTTAAATTTTAACACCGCATGCAATTTCTTCAATGTTAAAGGATTTGATCGACAAACAATACGTCACAAAAATAAACATGTTTTTTAATTATTTGGTATAGATGATACACATGTTGGATTTTTAAAAAACCGCTGCCACCATTGATTCGCTTTAAAAAGGAGACATTTCATGTGTATATGTTGTAACCATATTTTCGAACTACACATCTAAATTTGGCTCGTTATACAAAATTTATGGCAACAAAAATTTAGGAAAGCTAGCTGGTAAGTTTTGAAGCTTGAGTCATGAACAATAAAACTTATCGGTCAACTTTTTTTAAATTTTGTTTTGGTATTTTTTGAAGTAAATAAATTGAATTAAATTGAATTAAATTGAATTAAATTATTGTATATGTAAAACCTGACAAAATTTTTGTATCACTTCACGTGATATATTGTATTCTTAATATAGGTCATAATGCAGTCAGGGAGATTTCCAAATATGAAAATCGAATATTGGAAAATTGGAACGCTTTCGTCGATCAATTCATTTATGTAGAAATGAAAAAAAAAATTTTTTAAAAACAAATTCAGATTATAATAATTGAAATAAATTCTTTTTTGAATTATATTTTAAGAATCCACCGGGATCCACATGACTTTATACACTAGATCTTTTCCTACATATAGGAGAACTATTGGTCTAAAATCTCGTTTATTTATTTTTTTGTTTGATTCTATAATTACAAGTTAGTAATGGCAAACACTACCACTAGCTAACATTCTACCATTTTTGCATAAGATCTTGCAAAATAAATATCCAAAAAAATGATGGAATCTCGTTGCTAAGTATTTATTCAAAGTATGCTTATACATAGGGATGTTAATCAGTCCTTTTGGGACCAGGTCGTAAACAGTCCGAATCGGACTTTTTCAGATTCAGTCCTACCATTTGGGACTTAAAGTACCAAAAGGTCCATGTGTAACTCATATGCGCTGATTTTGTTTGTATGTGAAAATTGAAATGTTAATTAAAATTTTGGGGTATATGAAATTCTGATTGGCTAAGTTGAATTTCACGTACGTGAATTACAAATTCACACGAATTTCATTTTCACTCACAACAAACTAAAAAATTCAGTACGGTATGATCATAACGTTTATATTAAAAAAACCCACATTGGTTTTGAGGTGGAACCATTGGTTTGATGGGCTGTTGAATAGTCAAATATTCTTTTGGTGGAGCAAATAAATTTTTTTAGGTTAGTTATCATTCTACGGCCATTAAAAATACTTGTATTTTAACGTCAAGACAATAGTAAGATATAAGGTTTGAAAAAGGTCCAAAACTTGCTTGTTAAGTAATAATAATAAATTTCTATTACTATACATTTGCTTGCTAAACAATAATAATATTATTATTAAATATTCAATCATTAATAATAATAAATATTGATTTTTCATTTGCCAAATAATTAACCAACTTATAAATTTTATAATAATAATAAAATAATAAGTTTTTTTAGTTTAAATAATAATATGTTAAAAAAAAAAAAAGGACTTTTTAGAACTTAAGTCCTGTCCGGTCCCAAGATAGGACTTCCAGCCCCAGGACTAATTAACATCCCTACTTTTACAAAATCTAAATGTAAATTCTCAACGATCTATTCATATTTCATTATTTTTAAGAATCAACTTTTATTAAACTTCCTTTATATTAGAATTATTTATTTATTTATTTTTACTATAAAAAATTTGGCATAGAATAAATAATTTGTTACATACAATAGGCAATTCGTTTATAAATTAATATTTCGTGATATTATTTATTAATTTTTATAATTTTATCTATATACAAAAGTATAATTTAACAATTTACTATGATGCGGGAAGTCTATGACCACCCAATTAGAGTATTTGGGTAAATTTATTTTATTAAATTTATTTGTTTTATTATAAGAAAGTTGGATGGAGTCTAAAAGAAGATTGAGTGGCACGTTAATAAACTCAAACAACAACTATTCAGTATATTTAACCATTTATGAAAGAAATTATTGAATTTGTATGATAATTTTATTATTTCTTTGGTAGTCTCGTAAAACAGTTAAAAATACACACAATACATAATTTTGGAAGTTATATTGTGTGACCATTTAATAAAGTTTCTTCATTGATTTTTTTAAAATTACACAATGAGTCTGATCGTCGGTATTTAAAAAATTCCAAATTTGGAAATCTCCCTGACTGCAATGAATGTTTAACCAAGTCAGCATATTATTTATTTAATGGACGAATTTTTTCTCCTCCTCTAATGATTCGAGATCGACATAAATTATTTGGTGATACGGTGAATGAATCAAAAATCTGCATTTGGTGCAAAATGTCTCAAATTGCCAATTGTCAACTTTTACAAAAAATAAATAATTTTATCTAAAAATTATCATAGTTCGTGTGATGAATAATGACTTTTCTATGTGGGAAACACAGATTTGAGGGTCTCTCTGATTCATTCACAGATCAGCAATTAATGTTTTTTTCAACATCAACAATTCATTCGCTATATAATAATAATAAAAGTGACTGAAATATTTCTAATCAAAACTCAACTTTACCCACAGAAGTAATAGCATAATCAACTTTTAAACCAATTTCACGTCGTAATCGTCCAGAAACTAAACTTAAATAAATAAATATATATTGAACATATTGAATATATATAAATATAGGACGCTTATCAATTTCCACATTTACATTACAAGAATATACAGTCTTTATTACAAAATCATAAAGATGATTTAGACTTATTAGTGAAATTACCAGCTGGTCAAAGTGAAGAAGCGTGGTAATATGAACGAACACCTAAGGTGATGGTGATGACAATAATTTTTATTCGATTTTTTAATAATAATAAATTCCTTTGGTAGTACAACTTGAACCAGGCAAACATGTCCTGCTGTGCTGCTCAATCTTTCTATATACATCATTTTTAATAATTTTTTTTTGAAATATATCAGTTATCATTTAATTAATTAATTAATTAATTAATTAATTAATTATTATTATTATTATTATTATTATTATTATTTATGTTTAACATTTAGATTGTCAATTCCGGATACTATAAAACATTATCAGTTATAGAGAAATATTTAAAGGATTTGACATAATTTTTAATTTTGAAAGGTTGTTTTTCCCCTTGACTAAATTTTTTTATATCTAACTTATATACCTTCTATATTTATATAGAATGAAACTTTATTATATTCAAGATTTTAAAACATTTTAAAGTTTATAATCTTATATCAAAAATTTAATAATTATTAAAAATAATGGCGGTGACGGTAAAAATGTTACCAATAGTAGTAACACTGATGATGACAGCGATAATGATGACCACAATAAAGAGATAACGCGACGACGATGATAACAACAACAGTAGTACAAGTAAAAAAGAGTCTATTAAAGAGCCAGGATACATCATCATCATCAAAAAAATAATTAATCAATCAATTCATTTAAAATATTTTATTCATTTATTTGCTTAATTTTAAACAGTCAA